TAGAGTTTTGCATTTGCCTTAGCATTAATGATTAGAACTGATGTGTCTTTTGTCAGAAAGAAAATACGTTGTAAATATTTGCAAAAGTCACCATTAATAATGAAGGCAAATCATCAGAAGTGCATTATATTGTTTAATTCTCCCATCTACTTTTACTCATAGTGATCCATGTAACTCTTTTCTTGCTGAGAAATTACATTTGAACATACTTTTATAGCATCATCTATATCTTTATTTTGACATTTATATTTATATGCTTTAAAGCATTATGCGTGTAAGAAACTGTCATTGATGAATTGAAACAGTTTTGTCAGGTATAATTCTAATACATAAATCCACATACTTTTTTAAAATTCCCTTTTTAATTTACTCACCAAAAATTAATTTTCTGATTACATGGTATTTTTTATATGTTAAGTTTGCTGAGTTGCGTGAACACACTGTGAAAACATTTCCATTTTAAACTCATCATTTCAGTTAAGGAAAATAATTTAAAATAATGTTCCTGTTGTGTGAGGGAAGAGGTTTCACATAACGGAAGAGGTTTTATCTCTCTTTTAGTAGACTTAAAGTTTAACATTTTCTCCAGGGGTATCAGATACTGTTAATTTCTTATTCAAGTCGGTTAAACCAAATGCATTTCAGAAGTACTGAAGAGGAAAGGAAAATGGTTTTATCTCTATAATGTAACAGTAGTCAAAATAATGATGGAAATTCACGAAAATATGACAATTTAACCTTTTTAACTTGGGAGTCTTCATTCTCCTAAAAAATATAATCAACATTTTTGTTGTTGTGTATCCTCTTTGGCAAAATATATCATATTTTAATGGACTGTTATAATTTTTCATCTTTATATTCTAGAAAAAGCAAAGGCTTACTTTTACGAATGCTTAAAAGTTTGGGTAAGGCACTTATTTAAATTTAATATCTACACATCATATTTGTGTAATCTAACTCACACAAAAACACTGTCAAGTAAAACATGCTCTGTCTAGATCTTAGTCTAGAAGTCATTTATGAATCTGTTCAAATTTATAAAACTTAATTACAATAATTTAGAAATATAAGTGTAGTCAAGAACTCAGAGGATAAATAAAACAATGCCCAAAGGATTATATATCATATATACCCAAAGGATTATAAATCATTCTATTATAAAAACACATGCACACATATGTTTGCTGTGGCACTGTTCACAATAGTAAAGACTTGGAACCAACCCAAATGCCCCTCAATGACAGACTGCACAAAGAAAATGTGGCACATACACACCATCGAATACTATACAGCCATAAAATAGGATGAGTTCATGTCCTTTGCAGGGACATGAATGAAGCTGGAAACCACTGTTCTCAGTAAACTGACACAAGAACAGAAAACCAAACACCACATGTTCTCACTCATAAGTGGATATTGAGCAATGAGAACCCATGGACACAGGGAGGGGAACAATACACACTGGGGCCTGTCAGGGGTGGGGGACTAGGAGAGGGCTAGAAGAAGGGTGGAGGACTACAAGATGGATAGCATTAGGACAAATACCTAATATAGATGACAGCTCACATTCTGCACAGGCACCCCAGAAATTAAAATATAATTTAAAAATGCAGTAAATATTTCTTTATGAAAGTCAACCAGTTAAAAAATAATCTGTATCTTCCTAATAGCAAAACTGTAGAAATTAAAAGGAAACAAACATGTTGCACAGGACCTTTCTCTTTCTTTCTGTTCAAAAAGGACCCTGTGGAAGACTGCAATATTTATCTGGCCTATCGAAGTAGATTCTTTATCATCACAAGATTATAAATAAATATTAAAAATACAAATTATGACTGTACTGAGTTTTATTGCTAGAATTTTATACCAATAACTACTAATTTCCTACTTTATTTACACACAATATCTAAAATTCCTGCTGTGCTTAAAGAAATTACCTTTCTTTATCAATGACAAAATGTATTATCAATAATAGTAAATGTAAATATATTTACAAATCAGCCTACTTGTTTTTACTGTACCACTTCATTTATTTGTTATCACCAAGGGATGAAATATTCATATAAGGTAATGTTCTAAGTATAGGAGGCCCTCTGGACACATGAGACTTTGATTTTTGTTGATTTCTAATTTTGCTGTTCAGCAGACCACAGACTTAGAGTCAACATATTGCCAGTAGGTAGGTAGCACACATATTAAATTGCATTAGTCAATCTGCTTCCTGATGTTTACTACAGATGGTTTCCCCACACATTCTCTCAATCTCACTACAAAAAGGTCTATCTTTCACAATTTCACTGCTCTGGGACTTTTTTTTTTTTTTTTTTAGCACAAGCCTAGGTCCAATCTTTTGATTTTGACCAAACTGCACAGGGAGGCAGGAAGACAGAATGAAAAAAGAAATGAAAAAAGGATTGTTTAATCCTTTAAAGGCAGTAGCAGAGTAAGTTTTGAAATGCTTTCAGTAATAGCAGGATCGTTGTAATTAAACTATCGGTTTCCCAGAACAGCAGCTTTGAAAAATTCAGGAATGACTTTGATGACATGTGGTTTTGATTTTTAATGAAATCTCACCATTTTATTCGACTCCTGCCTGGAAGTAACAATAACTTACTAAGCAAAAGCACCTGTGTACTTTGAATAAGTATAGATAGTTTCTTCAAACTTTGTACCTTTACATTGCTAAGATAGGAAATCCATGCACTGCCATTTTGTTTTGGCTTCAGTGATACAGAACATTTTGGATGTTTTTCAAACATCCTTCCTAATAAAAGAAATTTGACTTCAGCTTCATCTGTGTAAATTTCAAGTGCGAGCAGGTGCAGAGTATTTTAACCCACCTTTATTAGACTCTTCCCCACATCTCACTTCCTCACATAAAGCACATGAGAATGCAAGCCCCCGATGTTTCCCATTTCTACATTGTAAAGCCTGTATTGTACGCTACAGGCAGTATTTAATATTAACTATTGATGTGCTCTAACACTGACTATCAGGTCAGGAACACATATCAAAGAAGGAATATATACCCCAAGACTTAAAAACCTACTGTTTGGAAAAAGGGAATATTTTCTCACAGGTAGTTTGCTCATAGAGACAATTTATAAAGACCTTAAAGAACACTGTGCTCTAAATAAGTATGAATAATAATTATTTGAAATGTAGTCACCTCGGCCTTGTTCATAATAGGAGAAAATAGTTTTAGTGTCTAACGACTATAAGGTATGACTTCCCTTTCTCCACATTCAATTCTCTCAAATGTTTTTCCTAAATCTTTTCTCATAGACCTTTTAAATAAAGTACTGTTTAAAAGTCTTGAGACTTTTTAAAGCCACTTCCCAGTTACTTCCCAGACGCCATCCTATCTCAAATGCAAGTCATCATTTGCAAGCAGCCAAAATAATACTTCATTTCCCGTTCTATCCGAGGACTGAGAATTTCTTAAACTGCTAACTTGGTTCTAAATATTTGAACTCCAGCTGCCATTCTGTTTTGGCTTCAGAGACACAGACCATTTTAAATGTTTTTTAAAGAGACGGCTTTAGATAATCTTTATGAACATGCTTCTCTTAACATAGTTAAGAAGGAAACTCCACATTTATCATATTATCAGTAAGAACTGCTCAAATTTTTCTGTGCTATCAAATCATGAAAATTATTCTTTGATGAACTACATTTAATGAGGGACAGGGTCTCAATACAAAAGTTGACAGCTGATGCCTCTGCTTACCACCTGGAGATATCCATTGATAAAATTATGAGAGCATATCAAAGAACACTGGATCAATTTCTAAAAAGTAGCCCAGCTTTTCTCAAAATCATTCTAATTAAACTATGGCTTTCCCAGGACAGCAGCCTTGAAAAGTTCAGGAATAACTCCGATTTGCCTTTGAGGATTTGTTTTAAAATAAAAACAAAAACAAAAACTTTGGCATTGATAAAAATAAACTTTGTCAATTTTGTTGTGATGAAATAATTCTAGAAATGTCATTAATAGTGCACATTACCAGCTTAATGTTAGAAGCAGCTCTTTATTAAACTATTCTTTGGAAAGACCACAGTAGGTATTTCCTTTTAACATGTAAGTATTTTTCTAGAACTATACACCCACCACTAAATGCATGAATTGCCTCATAGTATTCAAAAGGATTAAAAAATTTTGCTGAAAGCAAGGAATAATTTGGGAGTTATAGAGAAAATTCTCATAGAGTCTTGTTTCTGTAAAAATAAAAAATATAAATTTGCTAATTGTCATTCTATTTTCCTTGTATTGAGGATTTCGTAATAAATGATCTGATTTTATTCATTTATTCTTTCAATATTCATGCACTGAGCCTCAGTGACCATCATTGTTATAGGCACCATAAATTCAAAGGTATACCATGAGATATCCCACATAAATAGACTGATACATATCTTCAAGTTTAAAAAATAGAGTATCAGCAGTGAAATGCTGGAGGTAAATTTTAAAGTCAACAAGGGAATGTGAGGAACATATTCAATCTATTTGTGAGAAATCAATTTCAGAGATGATACAACTTTGTTCTGGGCTTCAATAAACACATTACTGTTGTAAAGAACCCAGAATTGATTCATTTTTTAAAGTATTTATATGAAACTAACGTTATGAGTTATGTTTATATAAAATTGGAAATAATCTATTTCAGAGAAAGACTTTTCAAATAAAACATTTTCCTTATCCTTAAAAATTAAAAGAGGATGTGTAGTCAGTTTTTATTGTATTATTTAATTAAATTTAGTTTTGATTTAAAACCAACACAGAGCTTTTGATGTGAAAAACTAATGCTATGGAAGGAAGATTCAATTATTGGTTTGGGGATAAAAGTTTATGTTTTTGCAATTTTTAATTTTGAAAGCCATCAAATATAAAAGATGCCAGGATTATTGACAAGTTTATTTTTGTCACCTTGATTTCTCAAAAGAAATTTATCTGAAAAATCAAAGCTCCACATTTAGGTTTGTTTCATTCATATTTGTAGCTCATTTTTGAAGGTATCCGAGGTCCTGGAATAGAAGGTGACATTGCTATTGATGATGTATCAATTGCAGAAGGAGAATGTGCAAAACAAGACCTAGCAACTAAGAGTAAGTATCTTTGTTTGAGATTGGTTTGATGTAATGTTAAATAACATTACTGTTAAATTAACATTTAATTAAATTTTAAGTTATTTTTAGTTGATTTTAAAATTTCTTATATCTAACACTCTTAGGTTTTTTCAGTTATTTTTAAAGTATTAAAGTCAATTGTAGACATATTTTGCCTGAGATAAAATAGAGGTGAGATTTTAATTTCGAGCTATGTAAAGCAAGTACACTTTGATTTTTAATTATGATTTTAAAACACTTTGATATTATTTGTTCTAGAAGATTTAAAAACTTTCATTAAAATATGTGATAAATCTATATACTTCCCACATATTTACATTGTAAATTGAATTAGTCCATCTTCGTTCTGCTATAAAGAAACACCCGAGACCAGTAGTTTATAAAAAAAAGAGATTATTTGACTCACAGTTCCTGCATGGCTGGGAAGGCTTCAGGCAACTCACAATCATGACTGAAGGTGAAATGGAAGCAAGATACCTCCTTCCCAAGAGCGGCAATGAGAATTGCTGACGGAAGGGGGAAGAACCCCTTATAAAACCTTCGGATCTCGTGAAAATTCACTATCATGAGGATAGGCTGGGGGAACCGCCCTGATGATTCAATTACCTCCACCTGGCCTCTTCCTCAGCACATGGGGCTTACGGGAATTATATTTCAAGATGAGATTTGTGTGAGGACACAAAGCCTTACCATATCAGCATAGATGTTTTTATTCCTTCAGTTTGTGAATATATTTTCTAAATCTAACTTTGCCAACTTTATTTTTTTGAGACGGAATTTTGTTCTTGTTGCCCAGGCTGGAGTGCAAGGCACAATCTCTGCTCACTCAGCAATCTCTGCCTCCCAGGTTCAAGCAATTCTCCTGCCTCAGCCTCATAAGTAGCTGGGATTACAAGCACCTGCCACCACGCCTGGCTAATTTTTTGTATTTTTAGTAGAGACTGGGTTTCACCAGGTTGTCCGGGGTGGTCTGCAACTCCTGACTTCAGGTGATTATAGGCATGAGCCACCGTGCCCGTCCTTTTGCTAACCATTTTAACAAATACAGCATTGTAAAGAGCTTCAATATATATATTAAGTAATGAAGTAGCCCTAATATTTCTGGTAAACTCTCCTATCTGCATCACAAGCTTGTTTAATAATTTTTCACTTTATACCCATTTTTTGAATATTATGGCTTAATGATATCTTTAATTTTTTAATCACAGTCTCATTTTATAATAGAAGGGATATAAATAAAACATGATAAATAATGCACAAAGATTTAGAATTGTGTATTTAGTTGCTGCTTAAAATCCTCATCTCCATATTTCACATTTGAATCTATGAAATTAAAATCATTCCTGTTAAAATGACTGCAATTGAAGGATTATCTTATACTCATCTGGAATCTTTCATTTTGTGGTCATGTATAGAGAAAGTAAGCAAACTAAATTTACACAAATTACTCATCAATTATTTAGCACGTACAAAAGCATGAAAATCTATGTCGTAAAAGTGTAGAGCAAATCAGTCTTTGTTAATTTACTGTATTTGGTGAGAAACTATATCAGTATAGATGTTGAAAGTCAAATTTATACAACTATTCACTGATTGCTCATATGAACTGAATTGACTCAATTCTTAAGTATTGTCAAAAGACAAAAACTAAAATTGCATATAACAATGAGCCATTTTGCTCATAGTATCTTGTCATTAAATTTAGTATTTCAAAGAACATATTTAGTAAAAATGTATCCCTGTATCTGTCTAGTTCTGCTTTAGAAAGCCAGTAGCTATGCTCAAAAGAACAAAGTTTTTCTAATGCATAGGAAAACATGCATTCCCCTCAAAGGAGAACGGGATTTCTTTTGAATTTCATAGTGTGACTGAGTGGCATTAACATTTTATTAACTGAAGGTAGTTACAACTTTATACAGAAATTTTACATTTTCATAATGTAAGCACAAATATTATAAATACATTCAATTAATTGATTTAAACTTTTCAAAGGAGGAAAGCAAAGGGAATTATTTACTCCCTCGGGCAGAAAGAAAGTATAACCGATAAAAGTAGCCATAGTTAAATGCTGTGAAAGCCCATAGGGATTTCATTACTGTACAAGGCCTATTACAATAGAACATTTTTATAATTAGTTCTTTTTCTGTTAAACTAGCAAGTTTAAGAAATGTGTGGCAGTTTTAAATAAGAAAATATCCCCTATAGATACTGGGGGCATTTTTCTTTAAAATCTGTAAATCAGGGGAAATAATCTTAATTGAATTAAAATAATCTATTTGGTATGAGAAATTTTTCTGTTACATTTGTGTCATTTAATGACCACTTATTAAGTTCATTCTGATGATGGGCATTTGATTAATGATTATTAAATGAATGTTATATTCTAAGTATAGACAAGCCTGAAGTCTGAAAGTCTCTTCCTGATTTCTTACGCTACCAGTTCGTTCCAGGCAATAAATGGTACCGTGTCCCACACCATCCAGATATGATTGTATGTCTTTATTTTCAAACTCAACTCTCCTCTAGATGCAAGCCATTTTGCAATTTTAGCTAGGTTAATGAATTATGCCCGTGTTACCCCTCCTCGGTAAGGCATGCATTCTAAGAGGCATCACCTGGACACCAGGCTTTAACAGAAATCCCAATTACGGTAGGACTTTCCAGGCAGATGGGTGAAAGGAATTTTTTTAGTTAGAATAGTCTTCATAGTGCCTCTAAAAGTTAAACTAAAGAAAAAATGACGTGCACAATTTATAGATAACAGACTGATCTAAATATGGATAATCTACTAGTTGCAATTTTTAATTTCTGTACACATAACTATCCCTTTCTAGTTTTCATTTAGAGAGATTTTCTGTCAGTATTCAAGTTTATCCACTTCTGGAAGTTTGAAAAAACAAACAAACAAACAAACAAAAAAACCTCACTTTTTGAAGATTTCTGAGAATTTTCTCCATGTTTCTGCTTTCCTATGCCTAGCAGAGCTAAGATTGAGCTCAACCACAAACCTAAGTGAATATCTTATGAACAAGTTTTCATAGCATATTATATTAATTCTAAATCTGTAATCTTTTTATCAAGTGCCTTACCATATATTGATTTTCCTTTTCACTTCCCTTAGCAATGAAGCTGATAAACAAAACAAAATAAAAATAAATATCTTCCTGAAATGTTGTCATATACTTGTTTTATTATTCATCAAGGCTGTGTTAGTAGCTATGTGGAATGCTTATTCCTCTTTTTTTTTTTTGCCTTTATTTTCCTTATTTTTAGATTCTGTTGATGGTGCTGTTGGGATTTTGGTTCATATATGGCTTTTTCCCATTATCGTCCTCGTCTCTATCTTAAGTCCTCGAAGGTGACCTTATCCAGGCAGAGGCTATAAAAGATTCACCAGGCACTGGCATGAAGAAAGAGTCTTTGTAAATGGACATTGAACAAACAAACTACCAAAGATTCCTCCACTGACTACTGACTCAAATAAAACAATAAAAACAAATTTTTTAAGCACTGGGGATAAAAAGACATCATGGAAGTATAACTTATTCCAACCTAAACATAAAAGATAATCTTGACCTGAGTAGAGAAGAGACCTTCAGGTGCTTTTGTGGCTAAAAAGATTACAGCGTCATCTGGTTGAACTCTGGAAAAAAAAAAACAAAGAAAATAAGAAAAAAAAAAGAGCTATAGAAATCCTTGTCAAAGCACAAAGTCATGGCTGGTTTTGTTTCAAATGAATAGTTTGCTTGTTACCATGGAAACCTAATGGCCTGCCAACAAAAACCTCACTGTAAACAGGGTACGTGAAGAGCTGGCATTTATTTTCCTTTCAAGAAGGTTTTCATAGAGAATTAAATAAATGTAGGCCCTTTTACCTTTGGCTGTTACCCTTCCTTGAAAATAACCCGAACTCAGAATTATTTAAAGCATTCATGTTCCTCCCCACCTTATCCCCATCCCACCTTTATTATTATTATTATTTTTCTCCCATGGCTAAGCTAGATAACTGTATGCTGTCTCTTTTTGCATGCACTACTATCCAGGATGGTAAACCTGGGCTTACATATTACACAGGCTTATCGGAGTTTGCTTGCGGCCACTTGAACACCCAAACTACGTCATCTGTTCCAATGAAGAAACCAAACCACCATCTTTTATAAATTGCCATGGAAACCAAGTGCCTTCAATGAAACAAGCCTGAATAATTTTCAACTCAGAAGCTTGCACTGCTAAGAGTGGTTTGTGTAAAACTATTTTATAAACAAACTACAGAGTCTAAATGTGCAAATTACAGGCAAGACAACAAAGCCGCTTCTGAAGAAAAAAGGACCGAAGCTGCTGCGTAAGCCCATGCAGACAAGATATTTGTTGTTTAACCTCCTAGACAGCCATGGCCTTTCGGCTTATTGTCCATTAGAAAATTACTTCCATTGAGACCAGACATGGAGCAACACTTTTTTTCTTCCAGGTTTTTAAATGGGTCAACCAGAGCAAAAGGTTATTAAGAATACTTAGTGCAGAAGGTGGTAAAACACAGAAGTGATTTTTTTTACTCTAACCTCTATTTGAAATGAAATTGGCCCTAGCTTTAGAGGGAACAAGGAAATGTTTGGGATTGCAGCGCATACTAACTCTACAGTGGAACTGGGCCTGAAAAATCTGGCTTTATTCTAAACTCTGAGGGTAATATGCCTCTGCCCTATAGTCAGACTCTGTGCAAATTGTGAAATATTATTTTATTATTTTACCAAGATTAAAAAACACTTTTACAAAAAAACAAAAACCTGTAAAAATGATTTTGAGCTACCTGAGGACAAATCATATCTTTAACCAGCCAGTTTTCCAATGCATTGTAAATTTAACTTAAACCTGTTGGTTATGAAAATTTGAAGATCCTTTTCCTTAAATTATCTCAGCTTTTAACTTCATTTAAAAAGACTTTTGTCTAAGAAGAGTATTACTATTACATGTTCTTTCAACATCCCAGGATTAAAAAAAGCTGATTATGCAAGTAATTGGAATATAAGTATTAAATTATAACATTTGCAAATATTAATATAAAAGCACAACAAAATGTAGTAGAAAATGACAAAGCTTGATTTTTTAAAACAATTCTGTAGAAATGTTTGTGCAAATTCAGTAATTCAATTTAAAGTATAATTTTACAGCTCTGTTCAATAAAGCCTCTTTCCAGGTAAGGTTTGACAAGCAGTATGTGTGTTTGTTGAGCAATGTTCACTTATCACTAAAATGAAATTAGTTATACAATTTATTGGTTACCATGGGATAAATCTTCAGTGCTCCACATACCTTAATGTCTGCAGAAAGAAATTTTAATAGGAACTCCCTAATGCACTCTCCTATATTTGTAATACATGCAAAACAACAACAACAACAACAACAACAAAACAGTTAAACCTTTGAAGGTAAAATATGAAATATATATGAACCTAGAATTTAATGTCTATTTTAAGTCAGTTCAAAAGGGGACCTGTTTGAATTTAGGTAGAGTTGGAATTGATCTGAATCAAGTATTTTAAATTAAACATGATAAACAAATGAGTTTCATAACTTATTTGAATGAATTAGGCATATTAAAATTTTTTCAGAGTTTCACTGTTACCTATATACTTTATCAGACCAAAGAGATTCAAGTAAACGATATCTGGAGCATTTATTTTACTATTTACAAAATTTCCCTTCACCTTGACTTCCATTTTTTGGCAACTAGCCCCTTTTCTCCACTTTCCCTTATCAGTAGATCACCCTTTTTAATTGATTTTCTTCACTTTCATTCCCAATAATAGCAATGAAAATGTTTTAGATCTAAAAGGAGAATCTTAACTCAATGCCCTCTTCCCTGATCTTTAAGTTGATTTCAGTGAGGCTTTTGCAATAAAACATAAAAATTAAATTTAAAAAGTCTATATTCAGAATATTTGAATATACATATATCATTTTCAGGTAAAGAGTCAAATGTCCTATTACCCTAAATAATTATGCACAAAGAAACTACTATAAGAAAAAGTTTCAATCCTACTACTAAGCATTTATAAAATACTAAAATCTTTCCCACCCTCTCAAACAGTTAAGAATATACAATGCTTCAGAAGTTGATGAGAACTGGCTGGTACTTCACAAATTAATTTTGCTTAAATTTTTTAAAAAGCTGTAGATGAATGTGAAGAACAAAGGGGCAATCAGAAGTGTGAAGCAATCAGACTTATTGAGATGGTAATAAAATGTATATCTCAAGTGGGTTCTGGATTATTCATGTAAACCAACAAACAATTTGAATCAACGTTTTTCACTTCAGATCTTATGTTCAGTTGCTTTAATTGAAAGTAAATGGATAAAAATGTAGAAATTTTAAAAGATTGGGATAAGTGAAATGTAAATTTTGTTAAGTAGGCTCTTCATTAATATTAGTAAAAATAATGAAACTTTTAAAACACCCTTAGCAACTACCTTCCTTTTCCTAATATTTTTTGTATTTATTATGAACTGGACTCACCAACATATTTTTCCTTTTCCATTTTGATAACATATTTAAAGTCTAATTGATACCAATATTTTTTGTTCTTTTAAGGAAAGGAACCAGGCAATGGAGTTTTTAATGTTCTGGAAGAATGAATATACCATGTAATCTCTTATTGCCAGTAATTCATCCCAATTAATTAGAAGCATTATTCTATTTCATCAGTTCAAGAATGCTTGTCTCTCTACATGTTCACATCTCTGCAATTGGGCCTATTTTAATTGCAATTGGCAGCATTTCTTTGTAGTGATATATAAAATGCATCATAGACATAATAAAATTCACTAAAGTCACTAACATTGCCAGAAGTGCCAAACAATGCCTAATATGACTACTTTTCAACAAACCCTAAAGTGAGAAAAAACACCCAACCATATTTGTAAGATTTACATCAAATGCTCATTGACTATGCAGTATTTAAAAATAATGTAACTTTTATTTTGTCCATTTTAAAAATCTGCGTCTTCTCTGAAATACATGATATGCATACCTAGATTCACTTTTTTTTTCTTTTTCCTGTTACTTGTTTTTCAGTTCTACCACAAATCCCAGTATGCTATATATACGTGTTTAAAATGTTTCCACCTTCATGTTATTGACAATATTTTGTCACAAGTTTGGCCTGCCATTAACTTTTCTTTAAAAGATTTGAAAGATGCATGGTATACCACAATGTCATGCAATAGGCTAAACTAAAGGTATTTCATTTCACAAATATCACAGAATTGACTTTGGCATGGCAATGAATTATGATATTATAATATTGAGAATTACAACCCAGCTAGTCAGTTACATCATGTAATAGAGTAAAAATAATTCCATTCTTTTGTATTTTAAAATATGATGAAATACAAATTACAACTGTATTAACTTTTCACCAAACATGCATTTTTATTTTAAAGACTTTATAATAAACATATATGTCAATAAAATGTGTAACCTGAAGAACAATTAATTCATTTAGTTATGTAATTAAGACTCTATGAACCTGGCTGTGGTGTTTTTCATGACTGATTTTCTTTGCTCTGATTAGTGATTTGACAGATGGTGATGGAATAATCTGATTTTTATATGGTGATTTCCAAGTATTCTTATGAATGCATTTTACCAGAAACCTTTTCTTTTTTAATGTGCCTTTCAAAGATCAGGGCCAATCAACAGACATGGAAACTGGAAAAACTTTACCCCAAATTAATTTGCTTCTTGGTTGATGACTACTTATTGCTAATTGCTTCATCTGTGTCTCACTAAAGCAGAAGGTACACTCTTCTTGCAACTGGGTAGTTGATGTCAATGAGGAGTTATTGCATTTTCTGTGAAAACAATAAAATCATAGGGTTCAATCCCAAGCTCTTTCCTTTCCTACAATGTTCCCTTTGTGATTAATCAGTTTATTAGTTTTCTTAGTGCTTATTTTTAAAAAGCAATGTCTGGCATTTTCTACTTCTGCTTAAGAGAAAACCTACCACAGAATGATCAGAACTTTTTTCAAATCTAATATAAAATGTTCTTTGCTGAATATCCATAATATTTATCAGTAAACATGTATATTGTTATTACGTAGAAAAAGAAAGACTAAAGACTTGAAATCCTAACGTCAACTATGTCAGTTCTGAATCAATCCATATATTCATGTCTGCTTAGAAAAAGAAGCAAGGCTTAGAGAGGGCGAAATATTCCATATATTTGTATATGGATGACTTTATTAACATATATTAAATTAGAGCTTAATAAATTACGAGTGGTGATATCACTACCCTGAACCTACATTGAATATATTGAAATTAGGGAACTGGAATTCAAAATGTTTAGTAGGCCAGAGGTTAAACTATGGGTAAAAACTGAAATAGTTTTCTCAAGGAAATATTTACAACTGATTGCATTTAATTTCAATTGTACTAATTTTCCATGAGTTAAGCTAAAATGTATTCTTATTTTTCAATAAAAAATGGGAAATTCTATAAAATAGGGATTAGCTTGTTAGTTTCAATTTGTTTTTGTATGGCTCTTAATTGTTGTCCTGGATTTCCAGGATATCATTTTTCTTTCTTTAGTTTCATCAATATATTTAAATGTGTACGTTTAATCAAATATACATTGTGTTAAATTTATATTGAATATTAGTTACATTTGAAATTTTGAAGTTTAGATTTAATTACATTTTCCTTTTGATATTTTCCTCCTGCTAAATAGTTTCAGATAGATGTATGTTATTTTCCCTTGGATTTTTTTTTTCAATAAATGAAATTATGTTAAATACTCTATTAGTGTTTTGGGGAAATTTCTGCTGCCAATAAGCACTTAAGGTAGAAACAAAAAGATATTTAGAACACCAATTATGTTTGCAATTTAAGATGAAAATGCCATCATTTCTCTCACTACTGAAAATCTTTTATAGACTCAACACTGCAGTGAGCACAATTAGCCCATTAAGATATGTGCTGATTTTTACATCCTTTCTAAGGGATCATTTATAGGATTGTGTTAAACAAGCAGACACTAAAATCTTCCTGAATGAATGTGATCTAGGAATTATAAATCAGTTTATTAACTCTAGGCTTCTGAATGATATATGAAATAATCGTGGCTTAATGGTGCTAATGTTATTTAGGAAGATAGATCTGATATCTGAAACATAATCACATATTTCATGGGGATGCTTGGCTAAACGTGAGTTTTCTTAGAGAAACAAATAATATTGCTTGACAATGATTAAGTGAACTGAAGTATAAAGGGAGTTCAGAAAATAAACTTGATTATCATTGTTTCCCTACTGACATTTTAGCATAATTTTGTTTTTATTTTTGGTATTATATCTCTAAACAAATCTACAAAATTTTGGAAATGCAGTGACAATTAACATTAACAGAACCATAACAGTATTCAAAAGTCAGCTTCCCAACTGCTTTCTAACTATGTGTTCATTACTATTTATTTTTCATATGCTGTTTTAGTATAATAGTTGAATTAAGGATCTTACCTATATTTGTATTTTCTGTAGTCTTTAGTGGTCTACATATGTGCTTCCCAAATGAAACTGTAACCTCTTCCATTGCAAGGATGTGTCTTTTACATCTTTAGTAGCCTCTATTGAACTTAGGTAAATTGTAAGTCATGCTTCTACGGAGACTACTGAATTAATGATTATTGAAATAATTTACGATTTAGAGCCATATTTAGACCAGAACTTATTCAGTGAACCTAGAAATAAGCAGCAACTTCATCTTTCACTAAGGAAATCAATGAAAATTCATAGACTGGAGAGATCTCCTGTATATTGAGAAAAATGAGAAGCCAACTGAAGCAACAGTTTAAACCATTTGCAACAGAATTTTCTAGCACTTCTTACTTTAACAGAAAACAATTGTATTTCTTAATAAAAGAGCAAATGTTAATGTTTCTGCAAACAATATCATTATATGTTTAAACTAAGTAAAATTAGATAAATACTGCATATTTTATGTTAGATATCAGAATTATACATGAGAATAATATTTTAGGAAATCTAGATAACTAAAATGTACTAATTATAGAATATTATGCTTCATTTTATATCAGTAGGATCATATAAGCTCCAGCTAAATTCAAACTCTTAGTTCCTTTCTAGACTTTGTTGCAGAATGTATTACTTGGAATCTAAAATTGAAGTGTAATGTATTTAGACATGCAAATATTTTTCAGAGTTGTATGATAATCTGAATTGTAAAACAAAATTTTAAAATTAAGACTATTTGGGGGTAATAATTTATGTAGCAAAAACTACATTCTTACAAATGGAACAAAATAATAAGAAACAAATTAATTTTCAAAATTGGAAACAGCATTGAATAGAGAGGATTCTTAATTTT